ATTTTTCTATTATTACAGGAGATCTTAATGTTGATATGCTTAAACCTAACTCTTTGTTTGACATCCTTTACACTTACGGGTATTCTCAGTTAATAGATGAACCAACTCGCATTACAAACACATCATGTACATGTTTAGATCCAATTTTTATTAATTCCAAAGATGTTTGTCTGAATAGTGGTACTGTCCCTTCAGATATTAGCGATCACAATAAAATGTCTGTATGCTCTTTAAGCATAGTAGTTAAGAAACCAAAGCAAAAATTTATTGAGCTACGCGATTTTAAAAACTTTGATCTGCGTGAGTTTCAAGCGAATTTAACGTGTATTCCTTGGAACAATATTTTTCATATCCTTAACTTAAATGACAAAGTTTGCTTTTTAGAACAAAACATTATTAATTTATTTAATATCCATGCTCCTTGTAGGATCATCAGGGTTAGCAAAAAACCTGCTCCCTGGTTGACTGACACCTTGAAAATAATTTTAAAACAGAGGGACAAGGCCCTTGCCAAATATAGAAATAATAAAACCCAAGAAAACTGGAATTACTATAAGGAAGCACGTAACTTTGCGCTGGCTTCCATTCGAAGGGAAAAAGCAGCCTATCTTGAACACTTGCAAAGGAGTAAAAATGAGAAAAAATTCTGGCGTGGTCTGAGCGATCTAAACATCAAAACTTCTACAGGTAATGAAAATGAGCTGCCGCCGAACTTGCAAGACCCAAATGTCATAAATGACTATTTTGTGAGTATATTTAACAAGTCTGACAACTGCATCGACCAAATTAATTACTTCTCAGGCAATAGATTCTCAGAAAGTGTTTTTGCTTTTACTTTGACTGACAGAGAAACTGTTCATAGTGTGGTTGACGGCATCAAGTCCAATGCTGCCGGATGTGACAATATCTCACTTCGAATGCTACAGCTCTGTATGCCCTATATTCTCGATCACCTAACCCATATTATTAACTGTTGTTTGGAGATGGGCTATTTTCCTGAATCCTGGCGCAAGTCAATCGTCTGTCCCATACCTAAAACACCGCATCCAAAATGTGTTCAGGAACTTCGCCCCATAAGTTTACTACCTGTGATTTCTAAGGTATTGGAGAGGGTTATTCATACTCAGTTATGCAGCTATCTTATTGAAAACCATATTTTGCCCGAACAACAGTCTGGGTTTAGGAGAAATCACAGTACAGCGACAGCTCTTCTAAATATCACAGATAATATAATACGTGCGATGGATAAAAAGCTTGCCGTTGTGTTAATAGCGTTGGATTACTCCAAGGCTTTTGACGTCATTGATCACGACCTGCTGTTGGCTAAGTTACATTACTATGGCTGTGATGAAATTAGTATGTCTCTTTTTATGTCTTACCTCTCGGAACGTGCTCAATGTGTTCGGGTCAACAATGAACAGTCTGATTACAAATCCATTATCTCAGGTGTGCCCCAGGGCTCAATACTTGGGCCGCTTTTATTTTTAATTTATACCTCCGATCTACCCAAAATAGTTAATCATTCTGACACTTTTCTATACGCCGATGATACTCAGATTGTCCACTGTTTTGGCCCTGATGATGTACGGCTGGCCTCGGAGTCGCTTACTGCTGATTTGCGGCAAATGTCGCGTTATTCCAGAGAACATAATTTGCAAATAAATGCAAGTAAGACTAAAGCTGTTCTATTCGCGAACCGAAATCGGCGTGCTCAGGTTGCAGAATCTCTTGTACTAGAGTTAGATGGTGCAAATCTTACCTTTTCTAACGACCTTAGAAGTCTTGGTTTGAACATCGATACCTTTCTTAGATTTGGGGGGCATGTTGGTATGATTTTGCAGAAGTGCTACTTACGTATGCGTATGCTCTATGCAAACAAAAGTGTTTTAAATTATAAAACTAGGAAAAAACTTTGTGAATCACTTGTTTTGTCAATTATTGGCTATTGCATGATTGTGTATTATCCTTGCTTAGATGGAGTTGCCAAGTGTCGTTTGCAGAGAGTACAGAATACATGCTGCCGTTTTATATGTAACTTAAGAAAATTCGACCATGTGTCGCAACATATTTATGACTTAAATTGGCTAAAGATCTTTGGTTTATTTAGACTGCAGTATCTGACTTTTTTGTATCGCTTACTTAAAACTCATCAGCCTAACTACCTTCACGAGAAATTGATTTTCAGAAACTTAATACATGATCGTCCTCTAAGATTTAATCTGCTTACGATTCCACACCACTCTACTGCCCTATTCGAACGATCTTTCACATATAACGCTGTAAGTCTTTACAATAAATATAAACCTGATTTATTGACTTTGTCTCTTAATTCATTAAGAAAAATGATAAAAACTATACTAATGGAAGCACAGGTTGCGTAGTGATGCTGGGATGTTTTTTGTTTTGATTCTTTTGTTTCATTTATTCATATTATTTTATTACTGTTTTGTTTCGATATTTATTTCCAATTTATATCTTTAAGCACTGGCATAGAATTTTCTCCTTCTCTTTTTTTTTTTTTTCCTTTTCTTGCATAAGATGTTAAATTAAATGTTATTTTATTTATATATTTGTTCTTATAATGTAAACTAAGAAGGTTAAGAGTTAAAGAATAGCTTAAAGCTAATCTTCGCCTTCTTGGGGCAAATTTTTGTAAAGAATTTGCTGAATAAAGACGATTTATTATTATTATTATTATTATAAAATCGTCACTGCCTCCTAGACGAATAGGATTAAGTTGTGCCCATAGTAGTTATTGACCAGAAAGGTGAAATCTTTATCATACCAAAATTTGGTTAGGTTTGACCGCGGTTAGAAATCCCATAAAAAGTGTGCGGAGTCCTTGTAAAGTATAACCATTATTAATTGAAACTTCATAAAAAAGGCGGCTCAGTCGATCTCTTTGAAGTTACGTGGGAATCCATAGGCGTCAAAGTATTATTTTTATGACAAATAGAAACAAATTGGTTAATAAAGATTTGTCGTCTACCGTGTTCGCGGGTCTATTTAGGTGCTTTATTATTATATACAAAATTAAAATTCACTTATTACTTTTCGAAACGAAAACTACCCCACTAAACTCAAACTTATAACTATTTATAACGAACGCCATTGCCCCGAAATTCTAGCTGATTTACTTCTAGAATACAGTGTAGTCAATACATTACATACATGGCAACATTTATATGGTAGGTAATCCTTAAAATTCCGTTTTGAACTATTGAAGTAAATCAAAATATAAATATTTTAATGGGAATATTATTCCTTCATTAAAATTTCAAATTTGAAATCGCTTTTTATTTAATTATCTGCGTAATTTGATGCTTTTGTCCACTTCTAAAGAGATATCTCACACTGTCAACAAGAACGGCTGCTTTGTCGGCATGGAATAAAGCCCAGCGGCATTGCCGGCACTTTTTAAGTTTTTTTTTGCCGGCGTGCGGTATCTTTGATATAGTGTACCAGGACTACGCATAAAAATATAAAAATAATTTTATATTATTATAAGGGGTATTTTTCTAATTTTGAGCAGTCACCATAAAGATGCGATTTTCAATTGGTATTGGAAATACTATACTTATTTTAAACGCTATAATGTACCGCCCGAAAATTACGTCATAGCTGTTATGTCCAATAGCGTCATGGTATTCCGACATTAATAAGAGTGGCGAGAGTGCGGTCTGGTCTGCGCGTCCTTATATTTTACATGCTTTTAGAAAAAGATGCAGGTAAATTCAGACTGCTCTGATTGCTTGCTTGCTTGTTTTAATGGCGCTGCTACTGAGGCAATTTGCCAGCACGATTTCGTGGCGACCCTGATGTTGTCTGGCTCTAGGCCATATCATAGGTCCCCTATTTGTTTCACTCTTTTCTTCTATCTTCAATTTTTCTTAATATGAAAGGCACATCCAGGATTTGCCTAGATCAATCGCTGAAACCGGATATAACCTTTTTCTGTCAAAACAAACAGCGTTTTCACGAGTCTCAGACTCTGGCCGCCATTTTGCCAACGTTACCACGCGTGAACCTTCTGTTTATCTAGGAATCTAAGCCGGCTTAGTCAAAAAGACGCAAACAAATCCACGGATGGCGATGAATCTCGGTTTTTACTCGCGGAGGTGAGCCAAAATTTGGTCTCTACACGCCTCTAGTGCACCACCCGGTGAAGCTCTTTGAGCTCCTTAAACCAACCGCCCACACTCTGGCGAGGACAAAACGAGACTGGACTGCTCTGATTGGCAAATGGAAATCTCTCAAAAAGTGGGGTTAAGTTGAGTGTGCGTCTACACTTTATTTTTTCCCAAGATAGATTTTGACATTGAAAACTTTGAAACATAAACAATAACGCTTGACCCTGACTGGTCGCAAAATGAGGTGTTTCTGCAGGTTGACATCAGTTTTACAATAGTGACCAATAAGCGGCATTAGCGGCATTGTTTATGTTTCAAAGTTGACAATGCCAAAATCTATCTTGGAAAAAAATAAACCATAGATGATGTATTGATTTCCGACAGAAGCTGATATATCTCTTTTTTGCACTAATGAATGAGTTTGTGTCGAATGTCGGACTTATGTTCAATTTAATTCAATCAAGGCGCGAAATATTTCTGTTTAAATAATGTGTCCCAAAACTCTAGCTTCACAATTGTTTCAAACAAAATTAGTCATTTTTTCTGAAATTTCTTTTGATACGAATATTTTTTATTTACTTCATAGATAAAGAATGGATCATCGATTTCACTGAAATTATACCTTGTCCACTACCCTGGACTCGGTACGCTTCTTTGTCAAACGTACAGCCCCACAGCAAAAAATTATTTCTGCTCCTAATAAAACAATGTACACATTAATAAATAGAGATTATTATATATGAATAAATTTACATTACATTTACATTACATTACATTATTATTATTATTAATTAATTAATTTTTTGATTGGGGTTTTGATTATATTCAAAATAAATTTCGCCTTCAACAATTTTCTATTTGTTTTCATAGAGTACATGGCAGAAAACATCAAAGCCGAACTGAAAAGAATCCAAAGACGCAAACAAATGCAATACTCGGGAATGATGGAAAATTGTGACAGCAGCGGCAGCGAAAGCGGAGAATCTCCTTCACGCTCTGAAAAGCCTCTCTTTACATTCAAGCAGGTAAGAATTCCAACATCTATTAAAACATCACCTATTAACTAAGTTTTCTTAATTAAGGTTGGACTCATTTGCGAAAGGATGCTAAGAGAACGTGAAACCGAAATCAAAGAAGAGTATGACAACATCCTAAGTGCAAAACTGGCTGAACAATATGACACTTTTGTCAAGTTTACTTATGATCAGATTCAGAGACACTATGGTAGTCAGACTACACCAAGCTGTAAGTATACATACATACACCATGACAATGAGAAGGGGTTCGAAGCTTTAATGTGGGTAATTGTTGACAAGTCAAAGAATCATAGTGCCCAAAATAAATAATAAATGAATATTTTATATCAAATCACAAAGTACTTTCTTATCTGATTACATGCATCTCAGGCTGACCAGGCCGCGTAGTGGATAGTGATCTGCTTCGCAATTCGATGGTTGTATTTGTGAATGTTTCTTCCTCTTCATGTAATTTCTATATGGTGTTGGAGAGCCAATGTTGCTCTTGCCTCTTAACCCTTAAGTGCACACGTGGGGGTACAGAAGACCCCAAGAGTTTTCTTTTGCCCACGGCTTTTCAATAGGTTTGGTACCATCACTTAAATTGCAGGTACCTTCCGAGGACAAGTCGGACTGTTAGTACACACAAAGTCGCCGTGATGCACAATAATTGATGGTTTGTTATTAGACTCCCACGTGTTTATCAATATTGGCTCGGTGTGCCCAAGAAGCAAAAATATAAAGACAAAATATTTTTGTGAGAAATGCTGCAAAAAAGTGCCTAAAACATATGAAAAATGTTTGCGAACGCGAACAATGTGTTGCTGAAATATTTGATGAAGATTCAGAATGATCGGAGGAATAATACCTACCTTATTTATATGTTCCAGCATGTATTATTAACATTTTTGTTTGCTTCAAATATTTTTTGGGTTTTTGAACTTAAATAGTTATTTATGCAACAAGTGTGTAAAGTGAACCTCATGAGTGAAAAAAGGTGCTGGACGCACGTATTGCATACAAAATTTTTTCTACTACCAATCAAGTATGTGTAAAAAAATAAATTTAGACAAATACTTTACGCACTAGTGCGTGAAGAATTTTAACTTTACGCACTAGTGCGTGAAGTAATATACCAGAAAAATGCCAAATTGACAGTGTTGACATCTGTCACTGACATTACTTCACGCACTAGTGTGTGAAGTGAATAACTTTACGCACTAGTGCGTGAAGTGAAATTTTACATCTTCTGAATAGTGCGTAAAGTGGGTACTTTACGCACGGTAGTAGAAAAAGTTTATTTTGGTTGTTTATTATACTAGTATCTGGAGGAACTGTGAGGTTATGTTACCTTGTTTGTTTTGATTTTTAAAATTTTTGCTAAAACGCGATTTTTAAGCCGTGCAAATTGTTCTTTTCAAGTCTGATTGGTCTGTTTTTGTCTTGTTACCTCACAGTAGTTTTAGCCAATTGCTTGTTTCATTTTAAAAGTTTTTTTCTGCAAAATTGTATTTTTGAGGTTAAGTGTGCATGTTTTTGGCAAATAAATATTGTTTAAAATGTCCAAACCTTGCTATAAATGCTCTAAAGATTGCCACACTGATAAAATGAAGAAAACGGGAACCTTTGGTTACCCATGTGACCTATGTTCTAAAATTGTTTGTCAGCTATGCACTGGACTTCAAGCCCAAGAGATACGCTGCATTCCTAGTCCTTCCAGAGTGATGCTGTTCGCTTGTCCAGACTGTCGTAGTGCTATAGGAGCTCCTGTACGCCCTAAAGCATCAGTGGACATTTCTGATGATGTATTTGATACAAATGAGGCTGAAGTTTCTGGAACCAACCTTGACTCGCTAAGCAACTCAATCTGTACAGTGATTGATTCTCAGTTTTCAAGTAAACTTTTATTTTATTTATTTATTTATTCAATCCTTAGTCCATCTGATACATTGGTATATTGGATGTGTCGATTACACTAGTATAAACATTAAAGCTATTACTATAAATATTAAATAAATTTGAATAAAATGTCAGATTTATAAAGATATGCACATTAAGTACATTTGTCGTTACAATAAATTGATTTTTTTTAACAAATTACACAGTACTACATAGCATTTCACGCAGAGCAACAAATAACAAAATATTCAAAATCACATGAACCAACATTACAATACACAAAATGATATTTAAAAGTTTACATTAAAAAATTGATTGTGGTTATAAAGAGGATTATCCATAAGCACAGCCTTAATCCTATTCTTAAAACTATTAAAACCTTGGATGTTTCTTACATCTGCAGGAAGATAATTGTATGCTTTTGTAGCCATATAAAGTGGAGATGACTGAAATAATGATGTTTTGTGAATAGGGATTGTTAACTTTTGAGAAAATCTGGTTTTGATTCCCTTGTTAATTTCACTATTGGTTTTAAAATAACTTTGATGTTTTCTAACAAACAACAATACCCTATAAAAGTATAAAGAATACATGGTCATCAGTTCGTATTTTCTAAAGATTGGGACAGCATGTTCATTCCATTTAGCTCTATCCAAGACACGTATCAAGCGCTTCTGGAGTAAAAACAGTCTTTCAATTTTAGATGTTGATCCCCAAATGATGATTCCATAGCTGATGCGACTCATTACATGTGAATGGATGTACAATAAGGTTGTTTTTGCATCTAATTCTTGTTTCAAGTTTTTTACAGCAAAACATGATGTCGCTAGTCTTTTAGCAAGACTTTCTATGTGACTCTCCCAGGTAAGAGATGAGTCAATGTGGACTCCTAGAAATTTGGTACTTTTTTTATTTGGAATATATTTGTCATTGAGTAGTACTACGGATGGTGGATGGTCATTATTTTGCGATCTTACGTTCTTAAAATCAACAACTACAGACTTTTGAGGGTTTAAGAGGAGACCATTACAAGTGCACCAATCTGATATTTTTGAAGATGTTAGATTTAGACTAGCAACCATATCGAAGTGATTTTCGTGATGTTCGGTTGAGCTTGTATCATCAGCGAACTGATGTAGTTTATGGACCTCATCAAACATGTCAGAAAGACTGTTACAGAAAATAAGAAAGAGCAAGGGAGAAAGGATTCCGCCCTGAGGGACGCCATATTTTATGCTCTGGGTAGCTGATCTAAATTGTTGGTTAACAATCTGACCATCCCCCCCTGATATTTGTACAAACTGCTGCCGATCTGTCATGTAAGAAATAATCCACTCCAGAGCGGGTCCTCTGATCCCATAATTCTCCAGTTTCTCAGCAAGCAAAGGTGTGTTAACTAGATCAAAAGCTTTGGAAAGATCGTAGTATATTCCTGCTGTGTGATGTTTTTGATCTAGGTACCTGTATATTGCATTGATTGATTCAAACAAGGCTGTTTCAGTAGACTTCCCCTTTAGAAACCCATGCTGAGAAGAAGAGAATAAGTTATTTTTTGTGAAGTATGATGTCAACCTAGTGTACATGATTTTTTCAAAAACCTTAGAAAACACTGACAGGTTTGAGACTGGCCGGTAATTACTAACTTCACTTTTTTCTCCTTTCTTGTAAATGGGGATAATTTTAGCGATTTTTAATATTTTTGGAAATTGGCCTTTGAGAAATGACATATTAATAATGACTGAATGACTTGATCACAGTCCTGAAAAATGAGATCTTTATATCAATTACAGACAAAATAAATGATCTCCAAAGCACTTTTACCACCAAAATTTCAAACCAACATGATAATTTGATAAAGGAGCAAACGGGTCATGTTGAATGCTTTAAGTCAGAACTTCACAGTGCCAAAACAGAAGTGGTGGATCTCATTCAGAAATCGAGTACCATTAGTTCTGCAGTAGCAACATGTGACACCTCCTCAGGACCAACTACTAATGTCACAAATACACTATCATCTGCAATCAAAACCTATGCGCTTGCCTGTGGAACTGGAGAGAGTTCAACTATACTAAAAGGTGTAGCCCGAGTTGAACCCATCAAGTGCTCCTGGTTTTATGTTAGTCGTGTCCATAATTCTGTCACTAATAACATGGTGATGGAATATGTGAAGGACAAGGCTAGTATCAGCGAGGATATATATGCTGATTTCAATTCATTCAAGATAGGCATTCCATCCTGCTGCGAAGAAACAGTAAGCAAATGTGACTTTTGGCCTGCCAACATTTTGTTCCGGAAATTTGTATTTGACCACCAAAATTCTAAGTCAGTACGTAATCCACATCCAGCTTCAACTTTTTCAGCTGCAATGCCAAAAAACTACCAAACCCCCTCAAATGCTACTTTCACAATGTGGGCGGTCTCCGTACTAAGCTTCATCATTTGAAAACTGTTGTGACATTGAACAATTATGACATCATTATATTGATTGAATTTTGGCTTTCTGATAAATTTTTGCATAGCGAGACTGACCTACAAGGCTATAGTGTTTATAGACAGGACCGTTTACAACATCTAGATCATGATGTAGTTGGAGGAGGAGTGCTTGTGGCTGTCAGGAGCAACTTACCATCCAAACTCTTGAGAAGCTGTAACCTGAATAAAATGGAGCAGCTCTTCGTAGAAGTCATAGTGAATGAAGAGTTATTTGTGTTTGGTGCTATCTACATTCCTCCTGAATCTCCTCGTGAATCCTACGAGATGCACTGTTCAATTGTAGAGGAAATCATTTCGCAAAATCCTCAATGTGTGCCAGTGTTGATTGGTGATTGTAATCTAAGAGAGGTCATTTGGGCCAATGATCATAGTGGTGTTTATTTTTCGGTACCAGTGAATGATAACTCTAATGCTAATATAATTTGTGATTCTTTTGCATATCTTGGTTTTTATCAGTGCAACCAGGTACCCAACAGGCATGGTACCTTTTTGGATCTCTTATTCTCAAAAATTTCCACAATTTCTGTAAATGTACCTCTCGATCCACTATTTGAGGAGAGTTTCAGGCATAAGCCATACAAATTTGAGGTTCCGGTTGGTTATTTCCAGTGCAAGGTTGGGTATGAGGATTGCATTTATGATTTTAGAGGAGTAGATTTTTATTCAATAATTTTATTTGATTAATGACATCGAGGCAGCTACCCAAATATTTTATGATTACATGTATCAATGCATTGATTTATTTGTTCCAAAGAAGTATGTGAAGTGCTCCTATAAATTTCCTATTTGGTTCTCACCCAAGTTAAAAAATCTAGTTATTAAGAAAAAAGCTGCACACAAGCTTTACAAAACATGTTCTTCCACTGATTCTTATCAACAATTCTCTGCTTTACGTGAACAATGCAAAATTGAACATAAATTATGTCATGACGAATATTTTACTTCATTAGAAGTAAATTTTCGTGAAAACCCTAGGGATTTTTGGAGCTACATTGGCAGACTTCGAATCCACAAGAAATGTTTTTTGGGAACAACAAAGCTCAGGGTAATGCAGCCATGGCCAATCTTTTTGCAGAATTCTTCTCCACAGTTTATGAATAGGACAACAAGGACTTGATCCCAGATTTTGAAAACCATGTTCGACAGATTGACAATGCGAAAGAGATTCAGCTCCAGCTCACAGCTGTTTTTGATGAACTTATAAATCTCCCTCGTAAAAATTCATCAGGGCCAGATGGTATTCCACCAAATTTACTTCGCAATTGTCACTGTTCACTTGTGACACCCCTCCATTTTATATTCAATCTCTCCCTCAAAACTGGCGTGTTTCCATCCTTCTGGAAAAATAGTTACATCGTTCCTATTTTTAAATCAGGTGAGAGAGAAAACATTGAGAAATACAGACGAATTTGTATTCAGTCAGCTATACCAAAGCTTTTAGACAAGCTGGTAACTAGCCAGCTCTCTAAACTCACTAATAAAATCATAGTCTCACAACAACATGGTTTTCATCCTGGAAAAAGTACAGTGTCAAATTTGCTAATATATCAAGATAGCATATTAAACGCCTTTGAGAATAAATATCAGATAGATAGCATCTACACTGATTTCTCAAAGGTGTTTGATAAAGTTAACCATATGTTCATGTTGAGGAAGCTCGAGGCTATGGGCATTGTGGGTAGCTGGCTCGGCTGGTACAAAAGGTTCTTGGTTGGAAATTCTCAGTGTGTGAAGGTAAATAGAATTCTTTCTCAATCCATCGCAGTCCCTCAGGGTTCTCACTGTGGACCCCTGCTGTTCTTATTATTTGTTAATGATGTGGAAAATGTCATTAGGCAATCAGAATTTCTGAATTTTGCAGATGACAAAAAGCTATACAAGGTTATTCGCTGCTTTAATGATCAAGTCTTACTCCAGGAAGACTTAACCAGATTTAGTGAATGGTGTACTTTAAATACCAGCCTAACATTCAACATTCACATTGATTCTGTTGTCAATGGAGCTTTTAAGCAACTTGGATTTATTCTTAGGAACTCAACACAGTTTTCTTGTTCAGTTCTGCCGATCGTTTTCATCAGCCTGGTTAGATCTAGATTGGAGTATGCAATAGTTGTATGGGGTCCTTACTATCAATCTTCCATAAATAAGCTGGACCGGGTGCAGCATAAGTTTTGTAAGCATTATCACTTTAGAAGCGCTTTCAATAATTTAGGAGTTCCTTATAGCTACAGCCTAATAGCAAGTCATCTGCGAATAGTTTCCATGGAAAAGCGAAAAGAGTATTTTACCATGTTATTCCTCTTTAAAATTGTAAACTCCTTAATCAACTGTCCTGACGTACTTGGCAGAATTGGCTTCAATACCTTTCATGGAACCAGACACACTACGCTTTTCCATGTTCCATTCCATCAATTTAATTATGAATATTTTAAGCCTTTAACTAATATGGTGAGATTGTATAACAGACACCAAAGTGATTTAGACATATTTTCCCAATCTTTGAGTACCTTCAAAAATGTGATAAAAATTCAGTTATTTAAGTTTTAATATTGTTATATTGTGAAATGGTATATTCCGTTAATAAATAAATAAATAAATAAATAAATATCTATGAGAAAAAAATAGTAAAAATGTAACTAAAACTAATAGTGTTGTTTTGTTACACAAAAATACAGCATAATGATGTGGGGGTCTGAGGACACCCCACATATGTAACAACGTTTCAAGTTCCCATGTGTGCACTTGAGGGTTAAATTTAGGTGGGCTATCCTCCTGTAACGAAAAAAAAAAAAAATATCTGTCTTAAGCCCTTCCTCAAATCATTTGGATTTTGTTGGTCTTGTAGAAATTGAATATATGGATATTTTCTTTCCTATGCATAGATAATCTAAGGTTGGGAAACATCCTATATTTCTCCTATCTCTAGGAAGTCTGGTTTATTTTATAATAGAATTGCTTCATTTCTCTTTATTAACAGGAAATAGAAATAAAGAGCACACAACATCCAACTCTTTGGTGAAATGGAAATTGTTCAACCATTTTCCAGTTAGTGGTGGTCTACACACCTGGATAAGAAACCATACAAGTTGAGTTTTGAAAGGCAATGGAACCCGCTCTTCTTTAAAAAGTGTAGTGCTAACAAAAATGTTGAAATGCAATTACAGAGCTTGGATTAGGCAACCAGTGTCTGAATGCATCATGCAAAAAGTTTAGAGCTACTTCTCATTGTCACCGTTTCTACTTTCAAGACTTCATTATTTTTCTTAATAACAATTCTTTTTTAATTCCAGATTTGTCATAAGATGTTTTAACGGTATGTTTTTTGGTTCACTAAGCGCATTTGTTGTGCTCCTCTCCCCGACTCCCCCGCCTAGTATTTAATTATAAATAATATACAAGTCCCTTATACAAAAATACAGACGCATTTCAAGATGCCTTAGAACCCGTACACGTACATAACCGAATAAATATAATAATCATCGCTAACAGCCTTTTGTATATAAAAATACTTATACAATCTTTTTTATTTATGTAATAGGTATAGTTATTATTCTTGTCTCTTATTGGGAATTGACATTGTAAATATTATGATGGCTTTCTTGTATGTGATTGTAATAATTTTTTTTTTTTTTTGGCAGAATAAATGGTAATTTCCATTATATAGATTATATATTTAATTTTGGGGGACTGTGTACGTCATTTGTATGTAATTTTTTTTTTTTTGAATAGTTATGAACCAAGACTATTTTTCTGAGTTTGAGGCTTTTGAAAGGCCATAATTGGCTTGTAATAATTTAGGGTTATGCGTCGTGAGTATGCTTTGTGTAAACTTAGTCAAATATATCTTATCATGTTTTATCAATTGAGAGGCAGGTTCTACACATTTAAAAAAAATCATTCATGGTAGCATTCACACATTGAACATAATATCCAACATTTTCAAAATATAAATAGCGATTTCCATTTGCATATTTATATCTGTCTCTGATAGATACCAGCAGTAAAAATAGACGCAGATTCATTGATTACGCGAAATCGCTATTTAAATAGAATAGACATCTTACGAACAATATTCCATACTGAGCACTGGCAATGTGCGGAGCTCTAAGAAATGGATATAAATATAGCGCCATCTGTGATTCACTCGAGCGGATAATTGATTAGGTTTACATGGTAATTTTTCAAATCAATGAATAGTGGCTTTCCTTGATAATTGCCATAATACCGAGAGTGGCTTGGAAAACTATTTTAAATTGATTTTTAGCTTTAATATTTTAAATGGTGTATCTAGGATAGGTACATATACATATTATTTTTTTTTTGCCGTGAAATAAGGTTTTTTTCAATCTTATATTTTTGTTTTTTATACAGAGTGTGTACAAAAAACACTCATTCCAAACATTATTTCATGGTAGAATTTTATGGCTGTCTAACGATAGCCATTTTACCTTTTATTGTTGGATCTAAATTACTATTTTTCAGGTATAAGTATAATTTTTGATGAACCACATTTTCTAGATTAAATTAAGAAGGTTTTTTTAGACTAAGGATATTTATTACTACAAAAAAAAATATATTAAAAATAGTATATTGTATAACAAATTTTTTAAAATGACTTCTTTTCTAACATGTTTTACAACATCTTTCCCCATATATTGACACCCTACCTGTATACTATACCTTTACAGATGGAAGGAAGGTGTAAATACAAAAGTTATGGAAAATTTAACATTTTCAATACCAAATTTTTTCATGTCTTGCGTCGTCCGTCTAACTGCTTTTGCACAGTTGTTGCATTCAGGTATAACTAAGCAACTTATGTATTAACACCTTTTCGTTACCTATAAAGGTAAAGGATACAGGTGGAGTGTTAATATACGTGAAAACACCCTGTATGCTACTCCTATTATTTTTTTTCAATTGCTTTGAGACTTTTGCAAAAGTATAAGGCTAAATTAAATAAATTATTTTTTTCTCTGAATTACATTGAAAGCGGCTTTTCAATGGCAGGCTTAAAAAGGTGTATTTTTAGTGCGTAGTCAAAAAGAAAGTTTGTCTGCCTAGGCAGAAAAAGTTGGCTGCTATGCAATGTTTCAGGTGATATTCTGAATTAAACTGGTAATTAAAATTGACTGATATTAATGATCGCGCCAGAGTTGGAATTCTGTATCGGAGAGACCGTTATTCCCATCACTGCTTGCTGTTTTATTCTCTCTTATCGAAATCAATAGAACGGGGACGCCAATAGAGATCGAGAGTTTGATTGCTATAAATAGAGGTATTTTCTCTATCTCTATTGATTTCGAAAACGATGGGGATAACGATCTCTATCCGTTACAGAGTCCCAGCCCAGGCGTCTCTTTCAACTAGATCCATTTCGGAAAATTATTTGATAAGTTTTTAAAATCGACAATGACAAAAGTGAACACTTCTGGTGGACACAAACAATTCAACAAACAGGAAACCGTACAATTTACACTGTCACAATTCTGTGCAAAACCTAAAATTTGTAAGTTACAAAGTGGTTTAGGAATCGTTCAGACGGGTTTGAACAAACGTAATGAAAATAGTAAAATACCAGAATATCAGCTTTTGTGGACTGACATTTCAAAAATGTTGACATTTTTGGAGGATCACAAAAAATAGCTATTTATGCAAAAAGTGGTGCTTTACACACATATTGCATACAAAAGTTTTTCTACTACCAATCAAATATGTCTATGAAAATAAATTTAGATAAAAAACTTTCTGCACTAGTGCATGAAGTAATTTACCAGAAAAAAACTAAATTGACAGTGTCGACATCTGTCATTGACTTCACTTTAGGCACTAGTGTGTAAAGTGTTACAGTGCGTGAAGTGGAATTTTACGTCTGGAATGAGTACTTTACGCACGGTAGTAGAAAAACATGTTTTTAATTCAATTTTGGAGTGTGTATTTTGCATTTTTCATAGCAATTGTAGAAAAATTAATTATTTAGCTTATTTTTAATTTATTTTTAGCTTAATTATCGTTTATAAGGTCTGTTCCAACCGACATGAAAACCGTTCTAGAACGGTAATTTCCAGTCGATTAATTCATTTGTCAATTAGGATGAAGGTTCAACTTATTGAAGAATGGGTGGGCAACTGAAAATTACCGGTCTAGAACGGTTCTCATGTCGGGTTGGAACAAAGCTATAACATCTTGTCTTTCAGTTTTTTTTCTTCATATTTAACTTTAATTTTTTTTCGTGCCTTTTACATTATTCAAGAGCCGGTAATTTTGCTTTTTATTGTGACATTGTTTTTTTCTATTCACTTAGGCCCAGTGGTCTTGGTTCAACACAGTTCAGCTGAACTCAACTGGTACTTGAACTTCCCCATTTGAAATGCATTGTCAAAATTGATAGAATTTGTTTAATAGCTGACAGCAATGTATTTTAAATGGGAAAACTCAAGTACCAGTTGTTTTGAACTGAGATTGTACAACTGGGCCTTAGCCGATGGAAATGCAATGACAGATAAACGGTAGTGTGAATGTCATCTTAATAGTTGACGGTAAATCCGCTAAATTCCATTGACGTCAACTATTCGGATGATGTAAGGATGGTCTTTTTTCATGTGAATAGCATTTTTTCTTCTTTTGAAAACGTTAGTTTTAACTATTTGTTAATTGTAACTAAAATTTAAGTTTCATATTATTATTTAATAAAAGGGCTATTCAAGTAAATTGTGAGTCTTGTTTGGAAGAATCCACAACATACCTTAATGAGAAAATTATTTGAAAAAACAATGTCATGGGAAAAAACTGCGTCCTTCGAAAGTTTCTTAGTGCATCGAGTGAAAACTGGACAATAGTATGTTTATCCTTTCCTAGAAAAGTTACTCTATTCCAACTTGAAGAAGCCTTCAGCTATGCAAAAGAAAATCAAACCACTTGAGCCAATATAGGTGCTACTGCACAACGATTCTTACACTCCTCTTAGGCCAAGTTGTACAATCTTGGTTCAAAATAGAGTTAGTTAGAACTCAACTGGTAACCATATGATAATATACAAAACTGTATGATTATTGAAAAACTGTACATAAAGGCTGTTTTTTTTTTAAAGATAATTCCCCAAGTCAAAAATTTAGTAACTATGTTGGCAACACAAGCCTTTTCTACATAAAAATTTGAGAGCATTGACAATTTTACATTGTATTGCCAACATAATGTCACTGTGACTTTTATCTTAAAAAAAAAAACACACATTTTAGGATTGAATTCATACTACTAACATGGAAAGGTTGAGGGGGTAGTCAGAAACAGGATAATACCAGTGGGATCGGAATCACTTGAGGTTTGTTTCAAACAATTGTCATCCAGTTTTAAAATGATTTCATTGGCCCTAACTGTTTTTTGACACTTCATAAACAAACCTTATGTGATTACAAAGTTTGTTCAGTGTCCTTATTCTTGAAACAGGGGAGCAGCGTTCCCAGGAGAACGAGTGTTCCGTCTTTGTCACTAATATTATAAGTTGCATATCGTTGAGAAAGATAGAACACCGGTTCTCCTGGGAACGCTGCTCCCCTGTTTCAAGAATAGGGACAGTGGTCGAAAGAATACCTGGAATAGCTGACGGGAAATGGGAAAGGAAAGCTCAAGTACCAATCGAGTTCAGTTGAACTTTGTTTTGAACTGAGATTGTACAACTGGGCCTTAGTAATTACACAGTTGGATTTACCTAGTGGTCTAGTTAGCAACAGCATCTACTTGGAGTAGTGATGTTGGTTTTGTTTGGAATTTTTCAGGGGTCAATGGTCAATTCTTAGAAATCTTTCTCGATAATTTTAGAATCAATCCTAGTCGCGCCATTAACAGCCAACTGCCTACAATATTTAGATAAGCCAGATTGACTCATTTTTCACCATCTTTTTCGATCAAAGCATGCTCTCCATTTTATACATATTATGATATTATGAGGACATTTTTTGGCAATGATTTCCGAATGACGATGGTTGATTCTGTAGACTTAAAGAATTCCAAATCAAAATTGATTATACTTTTTTCGCTCCACAACCTCGAGAGTCTTGACCAGGTTGTTCTTGTAACCAGATAATCGAGTTGTGGTAGTCGTACTTCATACTTGTAAGGCAAAGCAAACACAATACTAAGGTGTTGACTCGTTTATTGGTGCAGTCAATGTTGCCAGAAAAGTTAACAGATAGCTTTTTTCCAGGGGTTGCCAAACCGTAGGGATAGGGACTACTTGATTATTTATGTTGAGGATCCTACAGAAGGGATCTAGCATCGATAAATTCAATTCCATTTTCTTCCACCCACTCCATTTCTTCCGCTGTATGCTCAAAAGACGAGTGAAACAGCGCACCTCTTGTTCTCCCGTCCAAATCCAAATCTGTACTGCGAAACGCGAAAGCGTTTGTTGAATATACTGACTCGAGGTGGATCGTGATGCGCGGTTCATACGCAGCTCGAAAACCCTGTACACTGATCCAAAGAACATTCGGCGCACGTGCAAGTCTATACGCAACTTTAGCTTCATAGAAATGCTGCTGAGTACTGATCCTAATTTATTTATTTAGTCTGTTTAAAGTGCACACTACAGAAAAATACTAAATGGTACACTGAAAATGTAACAAATTGAACAATTACAATAGTTACAATAGTAATAGAATACAAATATAAGATACAAAATATAAACACAAATACAAAATATAAAAAAGAGAAAAGAAAAAAAAAACAATGGTACATAACAAACTCACGAAATAAAACTAAAAAGTAAGGTAGAAAGTAACACTAGATTAAATTAGCAAATTTGGCTTTTTAATTTAGGTAGAGTAATCTTGAAAATGTCTATATTACTAAAGTGTATAGTTCGCCTTACGAGTCTAGCACTACGACGTCTGAAGGGCAAGGGGGAATAACGCCATTCATTTCGAGCTTTATGCTGCCTGTCATAGGAGTGCGCGCAGCGTTTTTAAATATTACTTTTTCCTTATAAATGTAGGTGTGTAACATAGATAAATATTGAGGTATTTTCTATTGGAAGTCAAATACTCAATATTGCAATTTTTTTATCCGCATTCTTTCCATAGTGCTAGACTCGTAAGGCGAACTTTATGTTGTAGTCTGTGACTAGTCTAGTAACAATTGCACTATGTCCATAATTTGTTCTGTGCCTTCTTGGTTAATAGAATAGTAGGTAGCCTCTGTCTAGTTCTTAGAGATGGGACTAGAAATCCTACTTGTTCTAGTAGTGCCGGGCAGTCTTATCAAATTGTTGAGGAGTTTATAGAGAAACACTATCAGGGAGTTTCTCCTGCGAGTTTCTGAACTTTTCATTCCACAAAGTGCAAATCTAGTGTAATAGTCCAATTGTCTATATGGAAAGTTTAATTTGAAGAGTAATAAATATTTTGCAAATTTACTTTGGACCATTTCAATGCGGTTGACATGGATATTGTAGCTTGGGCGCCAAACAATGCTGCAATATTCTAGCAAGAATCTGACCAGGCAGTTGTACAGGCATTTTATTGCTTTCACGTCATCAATGTCTTTGGTGTTCCGCTTTATGAAGCCTAATAGTCGGAATGCTTTGGTGGTAACATGGTTGATGTGATTGTTTAAAGTCAGTGTTTTATCAAAGATGACACGTAGATCCTTTACTGTTTTGACGGTTTCTAGCTCGGTATTATTCTGTAAACCGCGGTAACAGGATTTTGGATTCGATAAAATGATATATGTTTACACTTCCCAGCATTAACATAAAGGTGGTTTATTCCACACCATCCTACAAATTGAGTTCAGTTTGGAGTGTCCGTGTTGTTTGATTGACGGTACAGAATATTTTCAAGTCGTCAGCGTACAGAAGTCAATGAGCTTGTTTAAAGTGACTCACTGCGTCATTGATGAATAGTAGAAATAGGACCGGACCAATGTGTGAGCCCTGGACGACCTCTGATGTGACTTCGATGCTATCAGAGTATGCTCCACAGACTCTGACCTTTTGTCGCCTATCCTGTAAGTAGGAAGCAGTCCATTGGAAAAATCGATTACTGAAACCAATATCTTGCAGTTTCTTCAGTAGGATGAAGTGGGAAACACTGTCAAAAGCTTTGGCTAAGTCTGTGTAGATGACGTCCACTTGTTTTCCAGCTTCCGTTGCGGAGATTAGGAATTATTGAAAGCAAGCTAAATTTGTAGCTGTAGAACAGTTCTTGCAAAATTCATGTTGATGGATTGATATGTAATTTTTGTAGGTTTGGGGCCAAACCGCTTGAATGCATCCAGGTGCGAGTTGAACCATTTGGGATATTTGTCTAATCTCATATTAGTACAGTAAACAGAGACAAATAAATCGCATTTAAAAAAAAAAAATACTTAATGGCTGAAATTTTGAGGGTGTGTTCGGGGGCATGTCCTGAGTCTAAAACTGAGTTTTCATATTCGAGGGGGTGGGGGTAGATACTACCCCCTCTTTATGTAGGGTTGAGTTCGTTTTAATTCCTTATCTTCGGTGCTATTTTCCGTACCGACAAGTCCGAGAGATCAAATTTGTGGAAAATTAAATTATCTATCTAATGATAATAAAATCGAGGTCATAGGACGATTAGGTGAATCACAATGGCCGGTCAACGGTCAAAAGTGGGGGGTAGTTTTTGGTTTTTTGTGAATACCGTGAAACCGGTAGGTTTTTTCGCATACTGCTTAATGTCTGCCCAGCGAGTCTGTGTCTACGGGGCAACGGTAAGGGGAATGCAGTTGTAAAAAAAAATGGCTGATTTCATTCATAAAATACCCATACTGCTTGGATACCATTTCGAAGTACTTGAAATTACCTACAAAATGAGCGCTCAAATACTCATCTACTGTGAATAGTTTGCCGTCAATCCAACGACCAAGTTGGCCGCGCGCGCCGATTTTGTACTTCCCGATAAGCTAGAAAGTTGAAATTTTCAGGGGACTTAGAACTTTTAATTTTGTCGAGCCAAAACAAATTTCATCCCCCTCCCTCCCCTGGGAAACCCTGGGGGGGCTGTCAAAGTCATGACTTTCGACCCCTGTATAGCCCAAACGGGTGGGGGATGGGGGGAAATGAAATTTTCAGGGGAAGTAGAGAAAAAGTTCCTCTATCGAATGGATGGGGGGGCGAATTTTTAAAAAATTTTGGAGGGGGGAAAAACATAAAAAACGCAATATCTCGAGAACGGACCCCCTTTGCGATCTAAAAATGACGTCCCGAGGGCTTTCAGCCCAAAGCAGTGATGTATTTGAGGGCTAAATGTATGTATGTGTGATGTATTTAGCCCTCCCATCGATGGTAAAAATAAATTTTCAAAAATTCACCGAGGCCGAACCGCTGGTCTGATCGAGTTGAAATTTCGTATGTATATAGTGAAACGGGTCCTCTATTGGAAAAAATACGAGAAACCCCGATCTTGGAAAGAAAGTCCCCTAGGGGGCCCCTAAAAAAATTTATGGGCCGATTTGGATGAAATTTAAAGTGTAGGTAAAAGGGATCTAAACAAGGTTAAATTTCAAGTTTCAGCTCTCTACGACATATAGGAAAGGTTCTAGCCCCTATCTCCCAATTTTGAGAAAGGGCGTAGAATGGGGTATACGCGCGTTTTGCATTTAATTTTCACGAATTTTGAAAAATTAAAATTTTCATCGGATAGAGGAGGAAAAAATACGTCGAAAATGTTTCTAGGCGTTTTTTGCTCTG